CGGCATCCACACACGGCATCCACACACGGCATCCACACACAGCATCCACACGCAGCATCCACACTCGGCATCCACACACGGCATCCACACTCGGCATCCACACACAGCATCCACACTCAGCATCCACACTCGGCATCCACACTCGGCATCCACACTCAGCATCCACACTCAGCATCCACACGCAGCATCCACACTCAGCATCCACACGCAGCATCCACACTCAGCATCCACACGCGGCATCCACACTCGGCATCCACACTCAGCATCCACACTCGGCATCCACACTCGGCATCCACACTCAGCATCCACACGCAGCATCCACACTCAGCATCCACACTCGGCATCCACACGCAGCATCCACACTCAGCATCCACACACAGCATCCACACGCAGCAACTACATGCAGCATTCACACTCAGCATCCACACTCAGCATCCACACGCAGCATCCACACGCAGCATCCACACACAGCATCCACACACGGCAGCCACAGGCAGCATCCAGATACAAAACGCCTACACACACCCAAACACCTCCCCCCACAGCACTTCTACACACACAGCACCCACAAACACAAGACACTCACACACCACACACCCATACAAAATATCTGAACACACAAGACAGCACCCAGACTCTAAATACTCACGTACACAAGACCCAGAAACAGACTCGTGACAACACGCGACCCAGCACAGACAGACAAAACAACACGGAGACACACCACAGGTCAGCTTCGCCCTGACACTCACCATCCAGACACATGCTACATTTAACACACGCACGAGGGCCCTCACAACACCCAGACACACAGCACAGCACCCGGGCACACCCCATACACAACCCCTGGACACCCACACTCACAGCTCAGCACCCTCCGGGGTCCGAGCTGCGCACTGGCTGGCCACCAAGGGAGCAATCCCCAGCCGCAGCCAGGTAGGCCAGCGGGGCGCAGGGCGTGGACTCCGGGCGCACCTCAGCACCCACCGCGGCTCGTGCGGAGCGCCAGCTGTGCACCCAGGGAGGCGGGCGACGCACACGCGCCCCGCACACGCCCCGCACACGCGCCCCGCACACACAGCCCGCAGACAGCGCGCCAAGTGCCGTTCCCGCCTCGCCATCCACCCCGCAATCCGGAGCCCAAACTCAGGGGACCGGAGGCGCCAGCCATCGCGCGCGCACTCCCGCCCTGCCGGAGATGCCCCCAGCTCTCCCTCTTCCCGCGTTTTGAACTCCGGGGTGTGTGAGCGCGCGCGGGAACTCCCACCTTGCCGATCAGCTTCCCGCGCCGGTACACGCGCCCCGAGCCCGGGTCGCGCAGGAAGGTGGCCACCAGCGGGCGGCTCCGCCGCCGCCGCTGGGACCGGGGCTCCATCTGCGCCGGGTGAGCCTGGGCGCGCGGCGGGCCGGGGACTGCGCCACACTGTGCGCCTGCGGCGCCGCTGCTGCTCTGGGCCGCCCGCCCAGCCGCCGGAGCGGGTCTTATTGGAGAGAGGGGGCGGGGCGGGGCGGAGCACGGACGCCCATGGGATCCTGGCAGCACCCGGAGCCGAGAGGTTGGCGCCAACCCGGAGCCAGGCTCGGTTCTACCACGCTCCCATCCCTGCGCCTCCTGGGACCTGTTGACAGCACCCGGTTCACCCACCGGGGAGACTGAGGCCCAGAGGGCTCGGCTGGTTCCTCTGCAGAGAGGCCGGCCCCAGGAGTCTGTCTGGGGTACACGCGAGGCCTGAGGCTAGTGGACCCAGTACAACTGGCTGGGTCCTCCCTGCAGAGGCGACCTGTGGGGCTCCCTCAACTTGGGCCCTGGGAAGCCACAGCAGGACCCAGGAGGGCAGCCTGTGAAGGTTTGAGGACCTAGGGACCAAAGAAGCAGGGCTGCAAGGCTGTGGGCACAAACGGGGCACCGTGGGGTGGGGTGCCGTGGAAGAGTCGGCCACCAGGATGGGGGGCAGGCGGTGCGCATGAGTGAGAACTGACCCTTCACGGGAGGTGGAGGCTTGGATGGGGCTGGTAGAGGAGATACCGAAGAAGCCGGGGCACTTCGCAGAACCCCGGGCTACCTCTCACCCGAGCCCACCCTCAGCCCCCACCCCGCTCCTGCTGCGCGCAGCCATTTCTGCAGCGCAGGAATCCGGGCCCCCGGCCCCGCCTCCGTGTGCCAGGTGGGAGTCCCCTCACTCACAGAGCCAGGCAGGCACAGGGCAGGGTGTGAGCCCCGCCATCTGCCTCCAGTATTAATCCCTGGATGTTACATAACGCAATAAATGGGGAGGGATTAGCCCGGCTCCCCGCGGCTGGATTCAGGCTATGGAATTTTCCAGAGCCAGAATTTGGAATCTGGCCTAACCCGTGCCACCGTGGGGGGGGGGGGACAAAAACACCCCTGAGTGCTCGCGTCTTAGTGCCCCCCTGGGAGCACTCCGGGGTGAACTCCGTGTAGCTTGTGGGACAAGGCTGGTGCAAGTTACTTGCCGGTGCCTCCTTTGCGGCTGGGGTGAGGGTCCCCGGTTTCTCAGGGTCCAGACAGCGGCAACCGGAGAGCTCAGAACCCCTGATGAGGACGCTGGTGTCCGTGGGGGTGGGGCGGAACAGAGGCACCCCGCGGCCAGGCCCGGTTTCCTCTCCAACGCAGACCCCTGTTCCTGAGTTGGCTCAGTCCTAAGCGTCTTTCGGTTGGTCGAGTACCTGCTTGTGCCCCCAGACAGTCCCAGCCTAGTCCCTGGAAAATGACACGTTTAAGAAGCTGTAAGGAGTTGGCCCAAGGTTCAAATGCATGGAGGAGGAGGAGGAGGAGGAGGGGGAGGAGGAGGAGGAGGAGGAGGAGGAGGAGGAGGAGGAGGAGGAGGAGGAGGAGGAGGAAAGGCTTTGAGGGCCTGTGAGATGGCTCAGGCGTAAAACCCTGTCCCTGGAAGACGGTCAGCTGGAGTTCGATTCCAGGAACCCACCACCGTGAGAGGCAAGAACTGACTCCCAAAAGGTGTCCTGTGACCACACACACACACACACACACACACACACACACGTGCTGTGCCATGCTGGGGTCCACACTCACACAGACAGTAGTAACAGTGACAAAATGTAAAAGGCATCGTGGGGTGCAAGCCAAGACTGCCCAAGTTTTGTTCCCTGGGATCCGGTCCGAAGTGGCAGGCAAGGAGGCTCACGCAAGTTCAGGGTCCCCCAGCATGGCTTTCAGGTGGGGGGACCCCGAATATCTGGCATCTGTAGCTGAATTTCCCTCCCCTGGCTTCCAGCCCCAGGGAGCAGAGCCTGGCACTTGAGTGGGTGGCTGAGTCCACAGAATAACAGAAACTTCCTGGGACGGAAGAAACGGAGTTCCTGGCCTGGCGCCCTGCAGCGTGCGCATCAGCTGACAGCGTTCCCCCCACCCCCCCACCCCGCTGCTCCTGGGACGTCTGTGGCTGAGTCTGCACCTGAGAGCTGAGTGACCCCCTGCCAGCCTGTGCCCCTCTGAGAGGGACCCCCCACTCCCCAGACCCCCTGCCCACCCCAGCCTGGTCCAAGCCACCCTTGGCTACATTAGGAGATGGAGGGATTGTGGGTGGGGTTGGGGTCTCCTCTGGGACGACGTCTAAGTGGAATGTACCCCAGGACCACTGGGCGGTGGGGTCTGGAGGATGTGGGTGGCACAGGACCTGTCCTTCCTGCTGGGAGGGCTGCGATTCCAGCTGCTCAGGGGGTTGAGGCAGAAGGATTGTGAGTTCCAAGCTAACTTTGGCTACAGAGTGAGTTCAAGAGGTAACCTGTGCTGAGACCCTGTCTCAAAAACTCAAAGGAGTGGGGCAGTGGTGGCGCACGCCTTTAATCCCAGCACTCGGGAGGCAGAGGCAGGCGGATCTCTGTGAGTTCAAGGCCAGCCTGGTCTACGGAGGGCTACATAAAGAAACCGTCTCAAATCAAACAAACAAACAAACAAAACCCAGAGAGAAAAAGAGGTGGACAGAGATACTGAAATGTCACAGCAGCCAGAAGGTAGGGACAGCCGGTGTCCACAAATGAATGATGGACATGTGATGAGGCCCATTGCCACAGTGGAATACCATGCAGCCATGAATAGGACAGAGGTTCTCACACCCGCACCCACAGACAGCACATGGGGAGCCCTTAGGGACGTGGTGCTCAGTGAGAGATCCAGAGGCAAAAGGTCAGGAAATGTCCAGAACAGGCCAATCCAGAGACAGGAAGTGGGTTTGTGGGCACTGGAGACTGGGAGTGGGTGAGAGTTCATATTGAATGGAAACAGAGCTTCGGTGTGGGGAGACGGAACGTTCTGGAGATGAATGGTAGGGACAGTTGCACAGGTGTGTGAATGAACCATGCACTAAAGACAGAAATGCCCATGTAGCCCAGGCTGGCCTTGAACTCCTCACCCCGCTGTGTCAGCCTTCTGAGTTCTAGATGGCAGGCGTGTACCATCACACCTGGCAGAGGCTGGCCAGCTTGTCTTAGGCGGGGCGCCCCGAAGCCGCGGTGTCCTCGGCCCAGCCATGGCTCCTTCCCGTCCCTCTGCTTTTGCTGACCTGAGATAACTCTTCGGACTCAGCAGATTTCTCTGGAGAAGTTTTGGGAAGCGTTGCTCAAAATACCTGCTGCAGGTGGAGGAGGTGGCTGCCGTCCGCCACTGAGGCTCCCCGGAGACTCTCGGGGCTTGTGTGTGGGTCCTCGAGGTGGCCCAGGCCTCCCGGCCGCATGACTGAGGGACGGTGCCTTGTCCTTATCTGGGCTCCACGTGGCTGCGCCCGTGAGCCCTCGGCCACCCAGAAAAACGTCTCCGGAGCCGTGGCGTCCCGAGCGTCAGGAGACAGGAGGGAAGCGGCTCTCCTGAGCACTCCAGACACCCCAGGACCTGGGCAAAGTGACCCAGCAGGGGTGTGCGGGAGCGACTGCCCAGGACGGTGACTTTAGTGATGGCCGTGGGGCGGGCTGACATGAACCACTCACGTCCTGCCCACATCTCACTCTGAATTCTCAAATGCAGAGCTGAAGCAAGGCTCTGGGCAAAGCCAATCTGCAGAACCAGGTGGAAGCCGCTCGACCCTCAGGGCCACTGAGGCCAGAAGCCACGGCCCCAACTGGGGACTCTGAGGCCTGGGGAGACTGTTTCAGAACAAGAAAGGACCAGAGGGGTGGCCCACCTCTGAACCCGTCCCCACAGCACCGTGGCTGCACCCTGGAGGTCACGTGTCTCATGTCCACTTCAGAGCAGCAGGAAGCTCATGGAGGTCTCGGCCGTGGCACCCTCAGGGTCGGACGGGGTCAGGCCCTGTGCTCCCCCACACCCCCCTCTCCCCTGTGACTCCAGTCTTCCTGTAACTCCCACGCCCACGCCCAGCCTACCCTACCCCAGGGCCTTTGCACAGAGTTGAGTCTCCACGGAGTGCTCTCGCCACGAATCTTCCCAGGACAGCCCAGTATCCACAGACGGACGGTGGACGCACAGTGTGCCCATCCACGCGCTGGGATGTCGTCATTCAGCCCAAAACAGGAGCGAGGCTGGCGGATCAAAAACGTAATTCCCCAGGCTGCAGAGATGGCTTTTCAGTCAAGAGCACTCACTGGCTGCTCTCCCACAGGACCTAGGTTCAATTCCCAGCTCTGTCTGTAACTCCAGCTCCAGGATCCAACACCCTCAAACAGGCATAAATGCAGACAAAACACCAGTGCACATAAAAAACAAAATGATAAAAATTAAAGGAAAAATAAAGTAAAATCTGAAAAAAAAAACAATCTCTATTGCTGAATTGGCCTGCTCTGACCTATTCTTTGTTTTTAAACTTTGTAGTTATTGAATTTTTATTTTCTTTTTAACTCTGTGTATATCTGGGTATGGGTATGCAATACTCTCCGGATCCCCCCAGAGCTGCCCAGTGTGGGTACCGGGAACTGAACTCGGGTCCTCTGCAGGAGCAGGAAGCTCTGTGAGCCATCTCTCCAACCCCCGACCCCCCAGGCAGGGTTTCTCTGTGCAGCCCGGGCTGTCCTGGATCTCGCTCTGTAGACCAGGCTGGCCTCGAACTCACAGAGATCCGCCTGGCTCTGCCTCCCGAGTGCGGGGATTGAAGGCGTGCGCCACCACCGCCCTGCCCTGAAATCTCTCCGACCCCTTGTTGCCCCGAGTCTTCTCCTTGCAGCTTCACGATCTGATTTGTCTTTGAGCTGTCCCTGCTCTCTGGCCTTCCTGAGCCGGCCATGTTTCTGCTGACAGGGTTGGTGTCCTCAGGGGACCTGAGTCCTTGGTGCCACTGACCAGCAGGTGGGACTTGTGCGGCACAGGCCCCTCCCCACATCCTTTCTCCTGCCGGCCACGGCATCGACCTCCTCCGAGCAGGGACATTGATTGACCCGCTGGGCAGGTGCTGTGTGGACGTCAGAACTGGCCGGGTTTCTGCAGGAGTGATCTGTTTTTGCCTGTGTGGGTCTTTTTGCTAATGGCAGGGAAAGAGCTGAGTCTCAGCAGATATGGGGGTGCGGGGGGTGAGGGGGGCAGTGAGCCAGGCATGGTAGCACATGCCTGTCATCCCAAAACTCAGCAAGCGGAGGCATGAGGATTCGGAGTTTAGGGTCGGGGTCATCCTTCCCTACAGAAAGAGTTCAAGCCCATCCTGGGCTACTTGAGACTCTGTCTCAAAACAATGGGGGAGGAAGCAGAGAGCTAGGGAGGCCCACGGAGATCCACAAAGATACCCCCGCAAAAGACTGCTGGCAATGGTCGAGAGATGGCCAGGACTGATCTACTCTGGTGATGGGATGGCCAAACACCCTAATAGTTGTGCCATAAACCCCATCCAAGGACTGAGGAATCTGGATGCAGACATCCACGGCTGGGCCCCTGGTGGAGCACTGGGAGTCTAATTAGCGAGAAAGAGGAGGGTTTATATGAGCGAGAATTGTTGAAGCCAAGGTTGGATAAAGCACCGGGACAAATAACCAAATGAATGGAAACACATGAACTATGAACCAAAGGCTGAGGGGCCCCCAACTGGGTCAGGCCCTCTGAATGGGTGAGACAGTTTGGGAAGCAGCTGTGCGGTGGTGCCGGGTCCTGGGCTCGTTGCATGAGTTGGCTGTTTGAATCCTGGGACCTATGCAGGGACGCTTGGCTCGGTCTGGGAGGGGGGGACTGGACCTGCCTGGACTGAGTCTATCAGGTCGATCCCAGTCCTCGGGGGAGACCTTGATCTGGAGGAGGTGGGAATGGGGGGTGGGCTGGGGGGAGGGGGAGGGGGTGGGGGGGAGAGCATGGGAATCTGTGGCTATTATGTGGAACTGAGTGGTGTTGTAAAATAAAAAAAATAAATAAAAATAAATAAATAAATAAAAAACCAATGCCTGGGAAACAGCTATAAACCCAGCACTGGGGAGGTGGGGACGGAAGGATCGGGGCTCCCGGGCCAGCCAGCCTAGGCGAATCAGTGAGTTCCAGGGAGAGACTCTGTCTGAAAAACCGTGGGGGAGAGCCCTTGTAGACGCCCGAAGTCCACCTCCAGCCAAGTCCACATCATGCACACAAGCCACCTGAACCCAGTGTGGCCAAAGTAGAAAGCAGTTTAGGCATCCGGCTTCAGGTCATGCTGGACCCAGGAATCCAGCTCCTCGGATGCTGCTTCTGCCTCCCTGCTCCCCACGGCTCTTGGGCTGACAGTGCAGTAGGTACCAGGCACCTGAGCACGGTGCCAGCCACCAGGAAAAGCCAAAGGAAAACAAAACGTTTCCTCCATAAGTGAGCACCCAAGAGGGAAGACAGGAGCCCAGAGCCACCCCACCCCACCCCTGCACAGGATGACCTGGACAGTGTGGGTCCCGATTCTGCACCCTCATCCCTGTGCCATGGGGCAGAGTCTGGATGGCGGTGATGGGTCCTCAGCGTCCTCAGGAGGCAGGAGGAGCATCCTGGGAACCAGATGCCAAGGCCCCAGTCCTCAGGGACCCCAGGGGAGTTCTGAGGGGCCCACAGGGCGCCCCAAGGTTCAGCCTGCCTTCCTGATTTTTGAGGCAGCCTCACTCTGGAGCCTAGGCTGGCCTCGAACTCCATCTGTAACCAGTGATGACTTTGAACCCCTGATCCTCCCTCCGCAGTTCTGGGATGTCAGGTGTGTGCAACCTCTCCTGGTTGCTGTCTTGGGGATGACCCGCCACCCCCAGGCTTCACACGCACTTAGGTGTGACGGTGCCAGATAAGTCCCAACCCCAGAACCCTGTCTTGCGCTGATACCGAGTTTTATGTAGCCCAGGTTGGCTCAGACATCCCGTGTAGCTGAGGATGACCTTAAACTCCCGACCCTCCTGTATGGCCACGCCCACTTGTACCCGCTTGATAAATGTTTAAGTGCATAAGCCGGGCTGTAAGCCACTGGGTTCGTAAGCCCAGGGCCCTGGACACACGGGTAGCCAAGAGCCCCACTCAGCCCTGTCCGCATCCCGTCCTGGCTCGGCCTGGGGGAACGGGTTCTAGGAACTCCGAGGGGCGGACCCAGCTGGGGCGGGGTGTGGAGCCGAGTTGTCCCCAGCTGTCCCCAGCAGCAAAGTTGACGGAGCTCCGGCGTCCTGCTGCGCCCTCTGCCGGACAGAGGCGGGGCTGCATGAGGCGCCGTGCCGCGCGGCCCGAACGCACCTTGCAGAGCTCAGCGCCTACTGTATGCGCTCTTTCAGGACCAGCGCCCGCTCTAGGGCCCCCGTGCGGGGCTCGGGTTTTGCGGCGCTTTTCTGCGCGACCGCTGTAGGGACTCTGGGGAAAGAACTACGTCCAGTGGACACACTCTTTGAGCATAGTGCCTACTGTAGGCAGAGTACCGGCTGTATACTATTCCTGCCAAGGGGAATGCCTGTTGTACATGTGCGCCATGCCAGGCACAGGGCCCGCTGTATGCACATTCCGCAAGACATAGTGCTTCCTGTAAACACGAATCATAAAGGACAGGGTGCCTGATGTATACTCCAGGGCCCGCCGGACGCACTCCTTGGACAGTACAGTTCCTGTTGCGTATTTCCCCTGTAAATCAGTGCCTGCTGCGCGGGCTCCCCTCCTCCACGCTGTCCTCATCTTTGCCTCACCGGGGCCCCTTCTTCCCACACCAGGACTTCAGGACCGTCCCTTATTCTTGTGCTGACCCCGGCTAGGCCACCCCTCTCTCTGGCCCCTGCTCAGTGAGACCCCTTCTGACGCTCCATGCCAGGCCTTAACTCTTTTCTTCAATGGGACGATAGGCGTTAGAAGTTGGGGTGATGGCCCGGGTGGCCTCCTGCCCTGGCTGGGGCTGGCGGCTTGGCTCACAGCCATGCGCACACAGTGACTTGAAGATGGCACTGAGTGGTTATACTCTGAGACGCTCCCAATGGCTGTCCCTGGCTGGGCCCTGTCCAGCAGACTACCCTGAAGCAGGTGTATACAGCAGGCACTGTGCCCTGCATGGAGTAAATACTGCAGGCCCTGCTCGCTGAGGGGAAAGCTCTCCCCACCAGGGTCGGCCAGGTGCGCTTCCCGGAGGAGGCAAGTTCAGCGCCCGGCACCGGCTATCTGTCGTAGAGTCCTCCCCCCGGCTGCCAGGGGACGCCACGGAGGAAGTGGGGTTGTTGGGAGCCTTGGAGGATCCAAAAGGAGCTGGCTAGGTACCAGGGTTGGGGAAACTGAGGCGGAGGACTTGGGGCCAGAACCAGGCGAGGGAAGCAGCGCTGGCGGCGGGCCTGGAGGGCGGGGCTGGGTGGAGGATCGGTGACGGCAGCGCCCGGGAATGTGCGGCAGGGAGGGTCCCTCCGCCCCCAGCGGGCGTGCGGGGCCTCGGGAAGGGATGCTAGGGACCCGGGTGGGGAGTCTGGATCGAGAGGGAGATGGGTTCCCGGGGGCGTGGAGGACTCACTGGGGGAGATGGGGACCGGGTGGGGGCCCCCTGGGATGGGTAGGAGCCTGGGTTGAGCGGGTGATGGGGACGGGGTTGGAGAGTCAGGTTGCGGGGTGCTGAGGACCAGGACGGGGTACTCGGGGTACGCACTGTCCCACTCAGAGCCCCAGCTCCGCGCACATTCCCCGGCCCTGAGTGCGGCGCCCGGAATAGCAGCCCGGTCACCCCCGCGCACCGCCCCGCAGCTGGACTTCCCAAGGTCACTGGCACCCAGGATACCACGACCAACGTTGGGCCACGACGACGCTACCAGGCGCAGTCGGTCAGTCCCCTGCCGCAGCTCCATGCCCAACTCTTTGCGCCCTCTCCCACCGCACGAGGGCGCCCCGGGCCTGCGCCCTCGGTGACCCCAGCCTGGGCGCGCCTGGGAGGCCCGGGTGGGAGGGACCGACCGAGCTCCCCAGTCCCGCACCTCGGGGCCCCGCCGCTTCCGCCAGTCCCTGGGGCGTCCCAGGGAAGCCTGGACGCCTTGCCGAGGGCTCTGAGCAGCCGGTAAGTCCCTCTTCTCATCCCGCCACTATCCCGGCTGGTGTGGCGACAATGCGATTGGCTCCTTTCCCTCCTTGGGGCGAAAGCAGCGATCCGTAGGATGGTGGTGAGTTTGGGGGGTCCGCACTTCCTCCGGGGTGGAACGGAAGCCCTGCTACGCCAGTGCAGGAGAGGGGTGTGCTGTTCCCGAGAGGGCACTGACAGCCGGGGTAGGAGGCCCCCCACGAAGTCCCCTCCCCAGCCTCTCTCTTCCTTCCCGGGCCAGCCCAGCCTCCGGGGCCGCGGAGGGAGGGCTCCCGGCGGGCGTCGTGAAGCAACGCCCCAGGGGTTCCAGCCGCCTCGGTCTCCAGGGTGCCCCAGAGGGTGGGATGACAGCGTCAGTGCGGCTGACCACCGCGGAGAGCCTGGCTCCGGCCGGGCTGGGGGACCCCGGCCTTCCCTCCCCGGGTACCTGGACCCTGCGGGACTCCTGCGTGCCCTTCAGAGCGCCTGGCCCCGGCCCCGGCAGGGACTCACGGGGCCTTGGTTCCCGTCCCTCCTGGCTTGTCCTGCCAGGCCCGGATCACGAGGAGGGCGTGGGCCGAGAATGACTTCATCCGGTCCCCGCAGATGGGGGAAACTGAGGCCTCTGCTCAGCCCTACCCTGCCCATTTCTCCGCAGACCCTCGGGGCGCCGCAGCCCACGCCCCGGGCGGATGAAACCATGGCACTCGTGCAGGAAGGAGGCCAGGTCAGCTTTCCCCGCCCGCCGCGGGGGGGTTCCCTTAGGCTACGGGGCGTCTGGGAGCAGAGGGGTCCCCAGAGGCTGGGGCGCAGCCCGGAGGGCGGCACCCATTGTATCCCGAGTTTCTGAAGGAGCCCCCCCCCCCCCCGGCTGCCCCCTCTACAGAGTCTAAGAGACTCATGGACACTGCACGGACAGGGAAACTGAGGCCCGAGGAACCGGAATGGTTGGCTCCTGGCCACCCAAGAAGGTAGATGGAAGGGGTGATAAACTGTGCTTAAAGGATCCCTCCCGTGGTTGGCATTAGGCACCTACTGTGTGCGTTAGAAAAGAACACACTACCAATAATAACAGCAGATTAAGCGGACTGTGTGGCAGCCCGGGTCTGTTAGTCATGACCCAGGGGCTGAGACAGGAGGATTTTCCAGAGTTTGGGCCTGACCCGAGCTACCCGAGCAAGACTGGAGGAGGAGGAGGAGGGGGGGGAGGGGGAGG